CTAAACCCTAAACCCTAATGTAGAGGGTGGGTGCAGTACCCAGCTCCTTGGCCTTCCCGGTGCATTCGGACCTAGGTCCCCCAGAGGCTACAGCTGAATCCTTCGTTTAGGAGTTTTGCTACGCCGAGTTTTGCTTAGGGGTTTAGGGCTTAGGGTTTAGGGTTTAAGATTTAAGGTTTAGGGTTTAGGATTTAGGGTCCAGGATTTAGGGTTCAGCATTTAGGGTGTAGGGTCTGGGGAGTGTTTCTTAAACCAGCGAAGGACGTCCTCTATAGCCTCAGAATCCTGATATGTAGGGTTTGTAGTTATTCTGGTTTGATAAAATGCACCAAGCCTTAGGCAATAAGCATCAAGCATTGACCCCCAAAAGCTTGTATACACCCCTGGCTAAAAGGGGGCAATGACCCTTTCAACCTCAAAAAAACATGTGGAGCATCCCAAACCATAGAAAAGCCATTATGCACACCAAACAAAGCCTAAACCTTAAACCTCAAAACCCTAAGCCCCAAACCCTAAACCCTAAACGCAGAACCCTAAACCCTAAACCCTAAAACAAAGCCTAAGCCTAAAACCCTAAACAACCCCAAACCCCAAACGCAGAACCCTAAACTCCTAAACCCTAAACGCAGAACCCTAAACGCAGTACCCTAAACCCTAAACCCTAAACCCTAAACCCTAAACCCTAAACCCTAAACCCTAAACCCTAAACTCCTTCTGAAGCCTGTAAGCTCCGGGCGTTCAGGCTCCCTGCAGCGCCTGGCTTCGGAGTCGGACCCGGGCGTTCATCGAGGAAGGCTGGGATGAGCTTTGGGACCCTTAAAGGACCGTTTAGGGTTTAGGGTTTAGGGTTTAGGATTTAGGGTTTAGGGTTTAGGATTTTTGGGACCCCCAAAAAGGGAAATAAGCATAAGCATTTGATAGGGATATTCCTACTTTATTGGGCTTCAGTATAAGGGGCTTATATGGGATAATCCCTATCCTCATTGTTGCTTGTGTGCTTGTCTGGGGCCCTATTGGCGCGTATACGACCATCGTTTAGGGCTCTGGGGGGTCAACAGGGGTCTACAGAATTAGTATAATTCCCTTACAGTCTCGATGCCAGTATACTGCAATGCAAGCTCCACCTCCCTCAAAAAATATAATTTTCCACTTGTGAAGGCCTTCATGTTTCTCTAAACCCCCAAGTCTTAATCCCTAAAACTCCAAAAAGGCTTTAAATGCTTTGAATGCCGAGAAAATTCCACCAGCACTAGAATCCTAGAAGCCCTTGACGCCTGACAGGACCTCCAAGGCTCAAATTGCAAGCCCAAAGCCCAATTTCCGACCCAAACCCCTACGACAGGGGCCGTAAAGATAGGGCTTTGGGGCTCATTATGCTATAATTATATTTATTATAAGGAACCCGCAAAAGAGTATAGGTAGTTATTTAGGGCCCTTACATCGCAAGCAATAATATACTATAATTATTATAAGGAACCCCCAAAATAGTATAGGTAATTGTTCAG